TCACTGCACGATATTCGATTTTTTCCATCGTAAAAAAATACAATGACACGTAGACTTTGAACAGCTGCAAATATACAATGAGTTGACGGATCTACTTGAAACTTGACACGTGTTTATGAAATAGTAGTACTATTTATAGAATAATAAAGTGACGCTCCTAGTAGCGCCACCTCTTATCGAACGACAAAACTTATTGAACAACCTGGTAAATGAACTTTGTAGGTTTCTAGTGGGCTACATGCATTTTTTCTTAGTTTGCAGGCTTTAAGCCTGCTGAGTATCAACATATGCCATAACCATTAGTACACTAGTATTAAAATAATACATGATAATGATATGCAAACTAACAATACATAATTTATTCTTATCTATTGGTCAAATCTAGTTTGAATGTTCATCAAGAATATCAGCTTAATTAGGATTGCATAATGGCATGAAGCAGAAAATAATAAAAAATAAAATTACATTGCCAAAGCCAAGAGATTTCATATTAGGATCTTGTGGGTCAGAGGTTGTTTGTTACTGACTTAGATGGTTAATAACAACCAACTGATGATAATAATTGTTATTAATCATGTCATTCTAGTAAAAACATTAAATTGATTCTGGCTGTTGTGCTGAATTAAATCATTCATACATTACATTTACTTTTGTTTAAAACTTGTATTCAATACAGTATACTTTATTGTAGTTTAAATTTTGAGTTCTGGCATTTATAGGATAGCTACAGCCAAACCTTGGTTTTCGAATACCTCACATTTTGAAGAATTTGTTTCATGAACAAAATTTTGAACTCAAAATTGCCTTGGTTGCTGTACTCAGTCTCTGAACAAGCTACTTGGTAAGAACTGGCCACAGAATAGACACACAGACAGTCGATTTCATATACTTTCTATGCTAAAAAAAGTTGTTGGCCTGATCAATCAATGACAGGACTATCGATTCATAAGTTAGTGGTGCTGAGATTGGATCGCATCGTTAGATATCAGGACATGAATCATCAAAAATGTTGCTATTTAAATTAGATTTCAGTGTGCATATGAAAAAGATACTATTTCTGTTTTTCAGTATGTACTGTACCATGGTTGAATCTAAATCACATTAATAAAAACTGTGTTAATTGACATTCATGTAATATAAATGTCATCCAAGAACTTGTTTTTAAATATGCTCAAGTTAAATTAAATAACAAAAATATTTAATATTTAGTAATATAATTATTATATTGCATTTGTAGCCATTTTTATGCATGAAATACAGCCAAAGAGGTAAAAAAAAGAAGAAAATAAAAAAAGAAAGGCTTTGTTTTGATGGTCAGGAATGAATTAATCCATTTTACCATTTTATATTGTTTCTTATGGGAAAATTTGCTTTGGTTTTAGAACAAATAGGTTTTCAAACAACTTTTAGGAACAAATTGTTTGAAAACCAAGGTTTGGCTGTATTTGATATTGTTTAAGACTATGATTATTACTGTTTAATTAAAGTACAGTACTGTACTATAGCTTTTAGCATAGTGAAAGAAGCAATTGGGAAATGCAAAGATTTGCCCCTTAAAGATAAATTTGAAATTTTAGAATGCTATGATTAGCTGCCAAAATTGAGTCAATGCACTGCTGTTGTACTGCTTAAAACTTCACAACCAGTTTTGTACAAGATTTTGAATATTAAAATGTCAGCAGGAAAAAATGAGAACATGAATTTCAAGAGAAAATGAACCAGAGAAAAGTTGAGTTTGCTTTGAAGCTTTTGTTTAATAAAGTTTGTGAAAAATTCACCTGTTCATTGGCCAATAGTGCTTCATAAACAGAAAAATTAGCTAACAGTATGGCTAAGAAAGATTTTATTGTACCCAAGGGTGGTTCAGCCAGTGAAGAAAACGAAAGAACATTGTGTATTGAAGCACGCATGGTGAGGAGAAAAGTTCTGATTCTGTGTCGGCTAAATTGTAGATAAAAACAGAATGACCAAAAATTATTGCTAAGTATTTGCCAAATAATGTATAAAAATCAGACAAAACAATATTTTTATTTTTATTCAATGTTTGATCATGCTATATAGCAAAACAAACAACATCGCTAAACCCGATATACTATAAAGCTAGACACCAACTAATACCAAATTCTATCGGACTAGACATGGCTATATTACTAACAAGAGAACCGTCGGAGTGTCTTCTAATAAATTTTAATAAAATTTAGTTAATAACTAAGTTAAAAGTATACAAACTCTGTTTTAAATTTGTAGCATTCACTAAAAGTGTTGATCAGAGTTATTAGTAATCAAATGTTGCACTACTTTATAGTAGTTTAACACAGTTATGCAAATTTTTAGAAGTGAAAGGGTCGTGGAGGAAAACAGTGATATTACATTTAGAATAAATTCAGGAATTTTCAAAAATAGGAGAATTAATAAAATTTAGTTAATAATTATGTTAAAAGTATACAAAATTTTATTAATTCTTCAACCATTTTTGAAAATTCCTGAATTTATCCTAAATGTAATAATATCGCCATCTTCCTCCGCAACCCTTTTACTTCTAAAAATTTGCATAACTGTTAAACTACTATAAAGTAGTGCAACATTTGATTACTAATAACTCTGATCAACACTTTTAGTGAATGCTACAAATTTAAAACAGAGTTTGTGTACTTTTAACTTAGTTATTAACTAAATTTTATTAAAATTTATTAGAAGACACTCTGACAGTTCCCTTGTAAGTAAATTATGCAACCAATTTGGCACTAGATGGAGGCATTAGGCACAGTCTCTTAATAACTTTAATATTTATAATTTTAAATAATTTAGAACTACTGGAAGAAAAAATCGACCTGGCACGGGACTCGAACCCACAACTCCTGCTTACTGTGTAGATGCATTGTCAGTTACACTACCTGGACCTCCAGTCTGATCTCCTCTCTTCCAGTATATATAAGCTTACATTATAACCATTGATAGTTATTACAATGCCAGTTGGGGACACATCCAGTGCCCACGTCCTGTAAACATCTCCCAAGGCACTCAACCAGCCATTGCAAACCCCGGCAAGGGGCTTATATATATAAACAAACATCTAGTGCCAAATTGGTTGCATAATTTATTTAGTAATATAGCCATGTCTAGCCCAATAGAATTCGGCATTGGTTGGTGTCTAGCTTAATATTATATAGCTTTGAACATGAAACTACTAAAGGATTTAAATAATTGAAGGAATCTATTATAGTTCTTTACTGTGCTAATATGCAAGGCCAGAAACAAAGACTTCAAGTGATTGGAAAAAATTAAAATCTTAGATGTTTTAAGGACATATGTTGTCAATTACACTACCCAGACTTCTGTCTGATCTTCACCTCCAGAAATATTAATTATTTAGATATAACCACACTGGTTACTCACAGCACCAACTAGGGATGACTTACATATCCACTTTAATAGGTTTTCCACACCATTCATTTGCAACACATTCACAGTAAGCAGAAGTTGCAGGTTCTTCTCTGGGTCAATTCTGTTCTTTCAGAACTTTTGTAATTAATTTAATTATAAATATTAAATTTATTAATGATGGTGCCTTTTGCCTACTTGCAGGCTAAATTACTTAATACTTAATTATTAAATAGTAGCCCAATATAATCCAGCAATCATTTGGCATTAATAATCTGAGAAGTAAAACAAATACAATTAAAATAAAACAAAATGTTTACCTTCAACCAATGCCTATCCAATCTCGTGAAAATTTTCAAGTATTTGAAAAACTATCTGCATCTATGATTTATGCAGTTGCCATGCATTCAATGGCAGCAGACTTTATTGACATATCTGGTTTAAGATGATGATAATTTAAGGAGTTGAGAAGTTCTGGTAATACTTTCTAAGCATTCAAGTACCTTGAACTTATGTAGTCACAGGTTTGCCATCACTGCATCTTGGCAATGTCATGGAATCAAATGTCTGAGAAGGATTGAAAATTATTCTAAAGGAGGTAAATTTTAAAAATAGGCACAGACATATTTGAAAATGAAGTTGTCTGTTGAAGAGGTGATCATAAATAATATTCCAGAAAATATATGAAAAGAAATTAAAATATGGTTAGCAAATTACAAGGAAATTCCACTCCTTGTTATGATTACATCATTAGAAGTATGTCAAACTGTTATTGAAGAAAGTTCTGGAGATATACCTGATGAAATTGAAAAAATTAACATGAAGATAGTCTAGATCATCCAACAAATTCTTAGGTACAAGTTCTGTAAATATGTAGGCTGTTTTTTTTCAAGTTCTGATGGTCCATAAAAAAAAAGACAAGTGTAAATAACAAAATTAATTTATTACCAAAAGTTAGGTACAAACATGTTTACTTTTTGACATAATAAGCATGAAGATTGAGGCATTTGTCATATCTATGGATGAGCCATTCCCTTGTCATAGAATGTTGCTGCCAATGACTTGAGATAGGGCCCTAATGTTTATTTGAAGATCATCATTAGTCTCAAATCTCTGCCCTCCTAGCCACTTTTTCTGTTTAGGAAAGAGGTGAAAGTAGCTCAGCACTAAATCGGGGTTATACGATGGGTGTTTAAAGATGGTGAAGACTTCTACCCAGCTTCGAACTTTTTAATGTGTGAAGACTTCCACCTCTTTCCTGAACTGAAAACTTGGCTAGCAGGTCAGAGATTTGACCCTAATAACGATCTTCGAAACAATGTTATGGCCATCTCAATTCACTGGCGGCAACATTCTATGACAAGAAAAATATATAGATTTCTTTACTTTTTGAAATTGGATAGTCAAATTATTTTCATGAAATTTTAATGTTTACATAAATACAGCTTGTAGTCTAATAAATTAGCTTTATCGATTCTTGTTTTTGTAGTTTTATAAATTATTTAGCTTACTTACTACATGTTTAAGATGTATTTCACAAAGTCCACCAAGAGTATAGTATAGTATATTTTTAATAGTTATCTGCTATATTCAATATGTTTTAAAATTTTTTATTGTAGATTTTTCTTTTTCAACTATTAAGAGGATTAGCATATTGTCATAGAAGGAGGATTCTTCATCGAGATCTTAAGCCCCAGAATCTTCTAATTAATGATCGAGGAGAATTAAAACTTGCAGATTTTGGTAATATTTAAATTATTATTATTATTATTTTTATTTGACTATTATATAATTGTTTTCATAAGTAATATAAAAATAAAAAATACTACATTAATTAAATGAATATTTTAATATGAAGTAAATATTTTTCATATATATGTCTTACATAAAAATTCTGTGAAATCAAAAGTTTATCTGACATGTTTAATTCTAAATATATTTATTATTATTGTAATTTAAACATATAATTTATATATTAAAAGTATTATTTTATTGATATTATTTATAATTAAAGTGAAATTATAGTCAGTTAATATAAATTAATATTATCTTTAGAGTATTTAATTGTAATTAGAAAAACCTCTCAGTAAATAGGTTTTAAATAAAATATTAATCACTTGGGATAATCATGCAGTTAAATTATCATAATACAGTGGAACCTCGGTATACAACCTTAATCCGTTTCTGGTGTTTGGACTTATACCGAATAGGATGTATACCAAACCAACCTTTTCCATAAGAAGTAATGTAAAAATGATTAATCCATTCTCAGGTAAAAAAAAATGCCTGGCTTTAAACACCTCGCTTTCCTTGCTAGTTTCTGCTTAATTTTTCATGAGATCAGCATGTATCCTTTTAAGTTTCTCGCAAATAATTTCTTCTGATATGCTGTCGCCGGCTGTGTTTTTCAGTTATCCAAAGCAAAAGCAATTTCTCGACATGATCTAATGTCTTCGATCTCTGTTTAGAAATTGATTTCACCCCTTTCGCAACGTTAGCAAATTTAATAATGTCTTTATTTTTCACGATTGTCGATATCGTAGTTCTCGGAATACGGAATGCAACAGTTAAATCTCGTTAAATCTCGAACACGTGTGCCACCTTCATATTTCTCAACAATCTCTTTTTTCAGTTCCTTTGTGATTCTAGTCATTTTTTTTTTATTTTTCTGTTGCCCTTTTGCAATTCATGATTAATAAAAATAATAAAATGTTACTTACAAATTAAAATCAGAAGAAATTTAACAAAGTTATAAACCGTAGCACTGCGAACGTCTAGTCTAGTATAGTACACCGATAGTGCTACTTGTTCATAGATGGCGCGTATAATTGAATTAAGTCGTATACCGA